AAAAAAAAAAAAAAAAGGAAATAAGAACAAATCAGGAGGTATCACATTACCAGACTTCAGGCTATACTATAAATCTATAGTGATCAAAACAGCATGGTACTGGCACAAAAACAGGGAGGTAGATTTATGGAACAGAATAGAGAACCAAGAGATGAACTCAGCTACTTACCGTCATTTGATTTTTGAAAAGCCTATCAAAATGTTTATCAAAAACATTCAGTGGGGGAAAGACTCCCTATTTAACAAATGGTGCTGTGTTAACACCATTTAACTGGTTGGCGATCTGTAGAAGACTGAAACTGGACCCTCACCTTTCACATTAACAAAAATTGATTCTCACTGGATAAAAGATTTAAACTTAAGACATGAAACTACACAAATACTTGAAGAGAGTGTGGGGAAAACACTTGAAGAAATTGGCCTGGGAGAGTATTTTATGAGGAGGACCCCCCTGGGGAATTGAAGCAACACCAAGAATCCATTACTGGGATATGACCAAACTAAAAAGCTTTTGCACAGCCAAGAGCACAGTAAGTAAAGCAGACAACCTTCAGAATGGGAGAAGATTTTTACAGGTTATGCTTCTGACAAAGGTCTGATAACTAGAATCTACATAGAACTCAAACTAATCAATAAGAAAAGAATAAATAACCCCATTTCTATGTGGGCAAGAGACTTGAACAGAAACTTCTCTGATGAAGACAGGTGCATGGCCTACAAACACATGAAAAAATGCTCATCCTTAATCATCAGAGAAATGCAAATCAAAACCACTTTGAGGTTTCATCTAACTCCAGTAAGATTATTAGCCCACATCATAAAATTCCAAAACTACAGATGTTGGCATAGATGTGGAGAGAAACAAACGCTTCTACACTGCTGGTGGGAATGCAAGCTAATACGGCTTTTTTGGAAAGAAGTTTGGAGAACACTCAAGGAACTGGAAGTAGACCTACCATTGGATCCTGCAATTCCTCTACTAGGTATATACCCAGATGATCAAAAATTATTTTACAACAAAGACATTTGCACCAGAATGTTTATTGCAGCCCAATTCATAATAGCCAAGACATGGAAACAGCCCAAGTACCTATCCACCCATGAATGGATTAACAAATTTGTGGTATATGTACACTATGGAATACTATGCAGCCATAAAAGAAGATAGAGACTTCACATCTTTTATGTTTACCTGGATGGATCTGGAACATATTCTTCTTAGTAAAGTATCTCAAGAATGGAAAAAAAAAAGTATCCAATGTACTCAATACTACTATGAAATCAATATATAACCACCTACACACTCATACGAATGGCAAAACATAACTATAGTCCAGAAATTAGAAGGGAAGAACAGAGAAAGGGGAGGGGAGGGGGGATATGGGAGGAGGGAGGATATTTGGGGGGACCTCACCTAATGTGCATGATACAATAGTACATTTCAAAACTATTAAGAAATGAGTATAATTGTGATGGATGTGTTACTTAGTTCAATGTGAACGTTTCATATTAGATATCGAAGTAGTACCCTGAACCCCATAAATGCATCAATGTACAAAGTTATGATTTAATAAAAAATAATTAATTTAAAAATAAATAAATAAATAAAAATATTTAAAAAATAAATAAATAAAAATAGAAAAACTAGCCAGACATTATGGTGCTCATCTGTAGTTCAGCTACTCAGGAGGCTGAGACAAGAGGATCGCTTAAGCCTAGGAGTTTGAAGTTGCTGTGAGCTATCAAGATGTAGCACTCTATTCAGGACAAAACAGTCAGAGTCTGTCTCAAAAAAAAAAAAAATCCTTTCTAATTTTAATGTTTAGCCTTAACACTAGTCCCAGTGGGATTTTAAATAACTTAAAAAGACTTTAAAGATAATAGCTAGGAATTGTGACAGGCGCTTGTAGTCTCAGCTACTTGTGAGGTTGAGGCAAGAGAATCGTTTAAGCCCAAGAGTTTGAGGTTGCTGTGGCATCCAAGAGTTTGAGGTTGCTGTGAGCTGGGATGCCACAGCACTCTACCAAGGGTAACATAGTGAAACTGTATCTCAAAATAAATAAATAAATAAAATAAAGATAAGAAGAGCATACGCCCATATACCACTTTTATGCACATACAAAATCAAAGGTAACTTGGAGAATTTGCCTTATCAAATAGTAACATACATTGAAGAAGTAAATGATCAAAACAGTGTAGAACTTGGCTGGGCGAGGTGGGTGGATTGCTTGAGCTCAAGAGTTCAAGACCAGCCTGAGCAAAAGTGAGACCCTTGTCTCTACTGAAAATAGAAAAACTGAGGCAAAAGACTCACTTGAACCCAAGAGTTGCAGGTTGCTGTGAGCTATAATGCCATAGCACTCTACCCAGGATAACAAATTGAGACTGTCTCAAACAAAACAAAAGAAAATGGTGCAGAACTACAACCAGAACAATAAACTATAATAGAGAAAATAGAAACAAATCCTAGAATATATATAGAGAAAGGTAATACACCCACATCACAAATCAGTGGGTTAAGGGACAACTAACTATTGAGTAAATGGTTCTGGGAATATTTCTGAATTATCTGGAAAAATCCAACTTAGATAATCACTTTGCATCGTACACCAAAATACATAACAGATGGTTTAATATAAAAAAACAAAAAAGCCAACAGAAGAAAAGACAGGTGAATAATTGATCTTATTTTGAACTTTGAATATAAAGCAATAAAAGAAATCACAACAGTAAAGGCTAACAGATTAGATCGTATAAAAAATTTGATCTCTTATTTGTCTAAAACCAACACAAAGAAAGTTAAATGGTGAATGAATAATCAATCAGGAAAAATATCTGTAACACATGTGAATGAGAAAAGGTTATACTTAAAATTTATAGCTTTAAAAATTAACTAGCTCTTTAATGTGCACAAGGTAAAAAACACAAAAGGATCAAGTGTACAAGGTAAAAATGCAAACAACATAAACTTATTAATAAGGAAAGAAAGTCTTCTTCCCTGCAGGCCCTCCTCCCTCAAGGGAACTACCTTCACATACTTCCATGCTCTTCCAGAAACGAAACAACTGTATACTTCTGCATGTATCTTACTTCTTCCCCCTCTTACCTATTCAAGACCATTCTACTCACATTGTTCTACACTTTAGGTTTTTTGTTTGTTTGGTGGTTGTTTTATTTTTCCTTAATAACATAGCTTGGTGGCTAGGCGCCTATGGCTCAAGTGCCTAAGGCGCCAGCCACATACACCTAAGGTGGCAGGTTCGAATCCAGCTCGGACCTGCCAAACAACAATGATGGCTACAACCAAAAAATAGCTGGGCATTGTGGCGGGCGCCTGTGGTCCCAGCTACTTGGGAGGCTGAGGCAAGAGACTCACTTGAGCCCAGGAATTGGAGGTTGCTGTGAGCTGTGATGCCACGGCATTCTACCCAGGGGGATAGCTTGAGGCTCTGTCTCAAAAAAAAACAAACAAACAAAAAAAAAAACATAGCTTGGAAATTGTTCCAAATAATCAAGTGAAGATTTTTCTCATTCATTTTCAAGGTTGTACTGCTTTCTACTATGTAAAGATAACATAATTATTTAGGGCTTTTACAAATCAACAAGAAAAAGATGAATATCCTATTAGAAAAAAATGGAAAAGAAGATGTAAAGGTCTTAAACAGACATTACCAGTAAGCACACGTGCACACCCACAGAGTATAAGCACATGAAACTTGATCTATCAAAGAAATTAAAAACAAAACTCTAGATACTATTTTTCATCTATTGAATTGGCAAATATTTACAAAAATGATAATTATTCACCACTGACTAGGATAAAGAGAAAAAGGTCTTCTCATTCACCCTTGGTAGGAATGCAGTAGGTACAATCAGCGCCAGCCACAGCGATCACAATCTCAAATGACTGTTTAAAATCATTCCACCCTTTGACCAGACATCGCCATTTATCTTCAGGGAATAATCAGAAGCACACTAACATTTATATACTGTATATACTTACAGCATTATTTTACAGAAGGGAAAAAAAGTATAATGCCCAACAATATAATTAAATATCCAAAAGATAGACATTGTGTGACAACACAATCTTCATTAACGTGCTTCTGAAGTCCATTTAATGACATAGGAAAATATGCATAAAAAAATGAATTGAAAACAGCATAATAGGAAAAAAAGAGTACGGATTTAATTCAGGTGAGAGTTCGACACAGGGGGAAATGGAGACCAAAGTATTAACAGTGATTAGTTATTTAAATTCTCTCCTTTATATATATTTTGCAGTTTTCTAATTTACTAGAAATATGCTTTTAAGTCAGGAAAAAGCGATAAAGGAGATTCTTGTATTCCTCTGAAGATAGCCAATATGCATACAGATACAATCTGTTCCACAGGCACTCCGGAGTGAGTTATTATCTGTGCAGAGCACTAGAAAAACACTAATATTACTCACATATTATGGTGTCCTATTTTACAACAGCCTATTTTCTGTGCAAATTTATCTCAGAAGAGAAAATTGCATGTGCCCATATGTTCTGGTGCTGCAATCTCAACATTGAATTAAAGGACCAAATCTAGGTGCTTATATAACCTGGTTAAAATTGGGAGTACTTCTATGAGGAGACTCAATTATCTCCGTTACAAAGAACCCTTATTTCTCTGCCATGTGAGAGGCATCTGTCAAAGATAAATTCCTGTCATTTTCAGATTCCCTTTATCCTCCCTAACAAAAACCAGCCCAGGGAAATGACAGTCGAGTTGCACAAACCCAGTGTTCAGACTTCCTGAGAAACTTGTCTTGAAATCAGAAGTCAAATTCCTGACCTACATCAACCTTAACAGAACACATTCCCCTTCAATAAACAGCCACACATTGATTGCTGGGTACTTCAGGATAAAATAAAGACCTTAACTCTGTGTATTCTTTTCATGAGAGTACAACTAGGTGGTTTTATTTTCAACTCGGTATTTAAGAAAAGAAATCTGGAGCCTACCTATCTTTCTAGCCTTATCTCTTACCCAGTCCTACTCCTCCCCAAAACCACAGCCAGATTGAATTACTCAGCTGCCCCAACATGCCCGGTGTCTTTTCATCTCCATGCCTTTCTCAGGCTGCAAAAGCCTCATCCTTAACTTGCACCTGTTAATATTCTACTGCCTCCCCCCACACCTGCTTCCAACAAGGACCAGTTCAAACACCTTGAGGAAGCCTCCCTCATCTTCTAACTGGAAAGTACCCTTCTTTCTTTGGAACTTCCATAGCATTCTGTGTCTCTTAATTCCACTCTCCCGAATCCCTTAAGGGTACGATGCAGACAGTGCTGGCTGCTACTGGAGACACTTAGATTCATATCCCAGGTTCATTCCACTACCTATATCACCTTGAGCAAGTAATTTAACTTCTGAGGCTTGTGCTTCTCATCTGCAAAGTATATTTCCTTCTGGAGTTGTGGGGAAGATAAAATAAGAAAACTCAAGTGAAGCACTTAGCAATATATAATCAACAAATAATGCTTTCCTTCCGTCCTTCATTTTAAAATTCTGCTATATTAGTAATTTTGTGTAGCTGGTGTCTTTCACCCCACCCAACACACATACACATATGCACATAAACAGAGTTGTGTTTTTTTCATCTCTGTAGTCTCACAGCACCAAATTCTAAGACCTGTACATACACCGACCACTAACGAAAATTGGTTGAAAAAAGTCATTAGTATATTAAATGCATCTAAAACATTTAAAACTGTAAGTGTTAGAGCCAGAAAAACAGATGGCCTTTTTAAAGACATAAGAATTAACATCTAAAGCATCACGGAGCATTTCTCTGAGAGTAACAATCTAATTACAAACAGATAAATCAAAGTCTCGAGTCCCTGTGAACATTAACAGCAAATGTGTACAGCGTGAGTACTTGAGTCAAATGGTCAATCTGTTATTTTCCCCACATCCTCAATTCTCATTACCTTCTAGCCTCTGAATCTCCTCCGCTGTCACTTCCAGTGTTTGATCAGATAGGGAAGCAACCTGGATGACCTGAAAGAAAAAAGAATGAAATGTGTACATGGGTATGTGTTTGTTTGTTTATAAACAGGCAATTTTGTCTTTTGATGAGGAAACATCAAAGATCTCTTGTTTTAAGAAGCTGGCAGTATCCTTAACTGGAGACTGACTCTCAGGTCCCCTTACTTTCAGAATACTGCAAATGATCATTCCAGAAGAAAACATTCATTGAAAACATTACACGATAAAAGCCCAAAACAATAATTTAGGATAATAAACCCAAGTAAGAGTTTAAAACTACATCTGTATGTATTCTGGTCACAACAGAACACATTATTTCTTGAAAATGCAATATTGACCTACAACAACATAGAATAGTATCAGCAATTCTCCATGTAATTAAGAATTAAATATAACAATGAATATTCTAATTATAGCATTTTATACCCCTATATGGTGTTCATTTTTTTTTTTTTTTTTTTTTTGAGACAGAGCCTCAAGCTATCCCCCTGGACAGAGTGCTGTGGCATTACAGCTCACAGCAACCTCCA